TTTTTTACCTGTAAGCTGCTGTCGCTATGATGTCATACAATTTATGTAGGGATAGTATAAGTCACAGTTCGGCAACACCATCAAAAAACTTCTCCTACCATTTTCTCTATTTTAGGACAGGAGTCGTTCCGATCCATCACTCGGTCATATTACAGAGGTGCAGCTGGTGCACTACTTGTTTACGATATTACTCGGTTAGTGATATCTGTGTGAAAGGGGCCTCTCTTTGAAAATTGTTTCTTTGAACCTAACAACTTTCCACTGATTGGGTTCATCGTACTCTCGAACTCGTCAACTTCATTGAATGAAAGTTTTCAGCCGAGATACTTTCAATCACTTGACATCCTGGCTGGAGGATGCTCGACAACACAGTAATAGCAACATGGTTATAATGCTCATTGGTAATAAAAGGTAGATTGTTGAGAAGTTTTCAACCTGTACGCTCTTGATTCTTTTCCTTTACAGCGATCTCGAGGCTAGGAGAGAGGTAAAAAGAGAAGAAGGTGAAGCTTTTGCCAGAGAACATGGTCTTGTATTTATGGAAACAAGCGCAAAAACAGCTGCTAATGTAGAAGAGGTGGGTTTAGGTTTTATTCCATGGGACGTGCCAATATTTTTTTTGTAGTCTTGGGATCAATTTGTATCTATGCGTTCTGCCCATTGAGCATGTGTAGCTATCACCTGCGATTCCTCGAAGTTGCGAAGGGTGCTTGCAAATTAAGTGGCAATTCTTAATATGCTCAAATGAACACACATTTATAAGTAGCGTAATTCATGATAGTCTGAAAAAATGATAATCTGATTAGTCACTAACGGTATTGTTTTGAGTATCATCTGAGTAAAACACATATCGGGTTTTGTAGTCAGATGACTTTAGATCATTTGATCGCATACTTAATAGGGTTTGATGTATAGATCAATAAGAATGCAAGTGATAGTTTGGATGGAAAAGTATTTATGTATCACTTGGTACAATAAAAAAAACGAAACTTTGTTTTGTTACTTTTTTTTACACAGTTTTGCATCGGTACTGAGTCCTTCCTGAATCCGATGTTTATATATAACTGCCGATATTTTCACCTACATTTCTGCTAAAATTTGAGATTGGGAAAAATATGAGTTGTCTACGCTATCTTTTCTTCGATACCAGAATGGTCATTAGTTCCTAGTCTGCGTAGATCTGCTTTAGACCTGCGCCAAGTTATCTTAACGTTAGCATTGATTGGTGATGGTAGTCCATAGGGTCTGTACCGTCGATGCTCTACAACAGATTATCTAGAATTTCCTAACGTTTACTATCCATTCTTATTGAATTCGGGAACCTCAAACATTTTCTGCATTTCGGCGTTTTGAGCGACAAGACACTTTCTCTATCATGTGATGAAAATCGTAAATATGTACTGTTTGAAATTGAGCCTACCCAGAGTGACCGAATTGTATATAGGAGTAGTAGGAAATGTGGGGAGTATATAATATCATGCTTTGGATTTTAGAAAATGTTTTTAATATTTGAAGAATTGAATAAGACAATTGATGTTTCCGATACGATTAATTGAACGTAAAAAATTCGGTATAATCAAAATTTCGAATCAGTTGAAATCGGGAATTTTAAAAA